GTGGGGGGGGGCATCCCTGGCAAAGCTCAGGTCTTCAAGGATGCCCACTATCTCCACTGCTGTTCAATATAGTACTGGAAGTACTTGCAATAGCGATTAGGCAAGAAAAAGATATTAAGGGCATTCAGGTAGGAAAGGAAGAAATCAAGCTCTCACTTGATATGATACTATACTTAGAGAACCCAATAACCTCCACCAAAAAACTCCTAGAAACAATAGACTCGTATAGTAAAGTTGCAGGCTATAAAATCAATACCCAAAAGTCCATGGCTTTCCTATATGCAAACAGTGAGAGAGAAGAAAGCAACATGAAAAAAACAATCCCGTTCACAATTGTGCCCCAGAAAATCAAGTACCTAGGAATCAGCTTAACTAAGAAAGTAAAGGACCTGTACAAAGAAAACTACAAAACGCTACTTCAGGAAATAAAAGAGGACATGAGGAAATGGAAAGATATCCCCTGCTCATGGGTCAGGAGACTTAACATTGTCAAAATGGCAATACTACCAAAAGCATTGTATAAATTCAATGCAATCCCTATAAGGATACCCATGACATTCTTCAAAGAAATGGAGCAAACACTCCTGAAATTTATATGGAACAATAAGCCCCCACGAATAGCTAAAGCAATTCTTGGGAAAAAGAAAATGGGAGGAATCAACCTCCCGAACTTCAAACTGTACTACAAAGCAGTAATAATTAAAACAGCATGGTACTGGAACAAAGGCAGAACTGCAGACCAATGGAACAGGGTTGAATACACTGACATCTCCCCTCAATCATATGCTCATCTAATCTTTGATAAAGGTGCAAGTAATGTGAAGTGGAGTAAGGAAAGCCTTTTTAATAAATTGTGTTGGCATCACTGGACGGCTACATGCAAAAAAATAGGCTCAGAACTCTGCCTAACACCATGTACAAAAGTAAGATCAAAATGGATTAAAGACCTCAACATCAGACCAGAAACCATAAGGTACATTGAAGATAAAGTTGGCAAAACCCTCCATGACATTGAAGCTAATGGTATCTTCAAAGATGCCATGCCACTGGCCGAGCAAGTGAAAACAGAGATAGATAAATGGGACTATCTTAAACTAAGAAGCTTCTGCACCTCCAAAGAAACAGTGACCAAAATACAAAGACAGTCTACAGAATGGGAAAGGATATTCACCGAATACACTTCTGACAAGGGGTTGATATCCAGGATATACAAAATACTGGTTAAACTCCACAAGAAGAAAACATCCAACCCCATCCAAAAATGGGGCAATGAAATGAACAGAAACTTTCTCAAAGAAGAAATCCAAATGGCAAAAAAGCACATGAGAAAATGCTCTACATCATTAATCATCAGGGAGATGCAGATCAAAACCACAATGAGATACCATCTCACACCTCAGAGACTGGCCCACATTCAAAAGAACAAAAGCAACCGATGCTGGCGTGGATGTGGCGAGAAAGGGACACTCCTTCACTGTTGGTGGGAATGTCCACTGGTTCAGCCCTTCTGGAAAACAGTATGGACGATTCTCAAAAAATTAGAAATTGAGCTCCCATTTGACCCAGCAATACTACTCCTGGGAATATATCCCAGAGAGGCAAAAATGTATAGTCGAAGTGACATCTGCACTTGTTTGTTCATTGCAGCACTCTTTACAATAGCCAGAAACTGGAAGAAACCTGAATGCCCAAGAACAGATGACTGGTTAAAGAAACTTTGGTACATCTACACAATGGAGTACTATGTAGCTGTTAGAAAAGATGAAGTCATGAAATTTACATACAAGTGGTACAATATGGAAAGTATCATGCTAAGCAAAATGAGTCAGGAGGAGAGGGATAGACACAGAAAGATTGCATTCATCTGGGGGATATAAAGTAACAAAGTATGAGATTAATACCCAAGAATAGCTGAGATCAGCACCAGGAGGATTACTCCATAACTTAGAGGCCAGCCGGGTATCCTAGAGGAAAGGGCAGTTCAGATAGAGAAGGGAGCACCAAATAAAGGATGTTTGGAGGATCCTCCCAGGAGGGGAGATGCATGTCGAAAGTAGACTATGGACTGAACATGTTTGCCACTCAATGCCTCTTTTGCAGACCACAACACCCAAAAGGAGAGAGAGAACACAGGGGATTGCCCTGCCACAGAGACAGGGGGGATGGGGGGATGGGGGTGGGAGGGATATTATCCATGGTGGTGGAAGATGGGCACTGGTGGAGGGATGGGTATCTGATCATTGTATGATTGAAACCAAAGCACAAAAAATTGTAAATCTTTACTTTTACTTTACAACTTTAAAAAAAATAAAATAAAATAAAGGGAAAAAATTAAAAAAAGGAGATTTTCGGGGCTCTCTGGGGCAGCATGTGCTTGAGAGATCCTGGGGCCTCTACGACATACACTTCTTCCATGTAATAAACTGCTGCTGACCAAAACACCCAAAAGGAGAGAGAGAACACAGGGGATTGCCCTGCCACAGAGACGGGGGGATGGGGGGATGGGGGTGGGAGGGATATTATCCATGGTGGTGGAAGATGGGCACTGGTGGAGGGATGGGTATCTGATCATTGTATAATTGAAACCAAAGCACAAAAAATTGTAAATCTACAACTTTAAAAAAAATAAAATAAAATAAAGGGAAAAAAAAAATAAATAAACTGCTGCTAAGACCAAAAAAAAAAAAAAGGAACAAAAGCAACCGATGCTGGCGTGGATGTGGCGAGAAAGGGACACTCCTTCACTGTTGGTGGGAATGTCCACTGGTTCAGCCCTTCTGGAAAACAGTATGGACGATTCTCAAAAAATTAGAAATTGAGCTCCCATTTGACCCAACAATACCACTCCTGGGAATATATCCCAGAGAGGCAAAAATGTATAGTCGAAGTGACATCTGCACTTGTTTTTTCATTGCAGCACTCTTTACAATAGCCAGAAACTGGAAGAAACCTGAATGCCCAAGAGCAGATGATTGGTTAAAGAAACTTTGGTACATCTACACAATGGAGTACTATGTAGCTGTTAGAAAAGATGAAGTCATGAAATTTACATACAAGTGGTACAACATGGAAAGTATCATGTTAAGCGAAATGAGTCAGAAAGAGAGGGATAGACATAGAAAGATTGCATTCATCTGGGGGATATAAAGTAACAAAATATGAGATTAATACTCAAGAATAGCTGAGATCAGCACCAGGAGGATTACTCCATAGCTTAGTGGCCAGTCGGGCATTCTAGAGGAAAAGGCAGCTCAGATAGAGAAGGGAACACCAAATAAAGAGTGTTTGGAGGATCCTCCCAGGAGGGGAGATGCATGTCAAAAGTAGACTATGGACTGAACATGTTTGCCACTCAATGCCTCTTTTGTAGACCACAACACCCAAAAGGAGAGAGAGAACACAGGGGATTGCCCTGCCACAGAGGCAGGGGGGGGATGGGGGGATGGGGGTGGGGGGGATATTATCCATGGTGGTGGAAAATGGGCACTGGTGGAGGGATGGGTATCTGATCATTGTATAATCAAACCCAAGCACAAAAAATTTACTTCCCAAGCACAACTGTACCTCATGGTGTTTCACTAATAAAAAAAGAAAAATAAAATAAAATTTTAAAAAAATACTAAATAAAAAAAAAAGCTCAGGTCTTATTCCTGGCTCTGTGCTCAGGGGTCACTTCTGGCAGTATTCAGGGGATTCTATGTTTGCTGGAGCATCAACTGCATTCGAGGCAAGTGCTTTAACGCCTGTACTATATCTCTAGTCCCTAACAACTCCATTTCTAGATATGTATCCCAAGAACACAGAAATACTACTTTGAAAAGATATATGTGCCAATGTTTATTGCAGTGCAGTTTATAAAAACAAGATCTGGAAACATCACAAGTGCCCAGTGAAAAATGATTGGATAAATATACATATGTGTGTGTGTGTGTGAATACTAAGCACCTATCATAAAAGATCAAATTCTACATTTTCTCTGGGACATGAATGGTTCTGAAGAGTGTCATACTAAGTAAAATGCATGAGAAGGAAAAAGACAAATGACCTCACTCATATGTAGATATAAATAAAAGCAGCAAAGGAATAGATAGCTTCCAGTAAAATGAAACCCTCAGATTTTGACAACAGACCTGAAGTTACAGTAGCAGGGGGTGGGTGAACAGAAAAGGACTGTGGGGGAGGTATCTTCGCACTTTTGTGGATGTTGTGTGGTCTAGATGTTGTGTTGTGTGGTTTAGATGTTGTGTTGTGTGGTAGATGTTGTAACCCTAAAATAACTATTTACACTCTCATAAACAAATATTGCATCATTTTGAGATAAAGAAACTTTTATACATGGGTCTTAGTATAATGTCTATTGAATGAATGCAGTCTTTTTTTTTTAACATCATTCAATTTTAAAGAAGGAACAAACATCCTTCTTCATTCAAGTTAAAGCTAAACTGGCTTTAAGAAAGAGAATGAACTAGATGTTCATTATGTTGGGTTCTTTCCTAATTTATCATGGTATCTTCATCACTACTGAAAAATTTCACAGAATAAAAGATACACAGCAATATGTGTAAAGTTGATAAATTATTGTCTTTTAAACTGCACTGAAAAATGAGATTTCACTGTGAAAGCAGTTCATGGAGGAAAACATAGAAGACGCAAGATTTTAGGTCTCTGCTTATAAGTTTGAATCACTGCCATGAAAAGAAGTCTATTGATGTCTGGGGAAACTGAAAATGGTCATGGTAAATGGAAGCTGTATGGTTCATTTGCTGCTATAAAGGATTCCATCAGCTCTTCTGTAGGTTATTATAGCTTCATTTGAAAATGTGAATGTTAAAATAAGATCCAATAGCAACTACTGAGACTGGACTAAAAACATTGTATTGGATGGTTTTTCCTTTTTAAAATACTGGTTAATAAAATAATTTGCTAAAGAAATTTGAGTCAATTAAAGGGTTTGTTGCAGGAAATTGTTATAAATCTCTGGGTTTGGTTTTATTTCACAGTTTTTCACCTTTGAGCAGTACAAGAAATTACTTGGATATGTGTCACTGTCACCAGCATTGGTAAGTGAGAGTATTTATTATGCTTAAGTGTGTGTGTTATTTCATAAAGCAAAATCTGGAAACAAAACCCTTTTGATTCCCTCAAGCCCAGCTACTAAAATATGAATTTGAGTTATTCAATGTTCAGCTACTTGTTGAAAGCCATCTTCCTAATAACTCACAATTTGGCTATTTTGTAGCTCCCAGTGATGAATTTATGATAATAATGATATACATAGAAAGGTTCATGTGAGAATCAGTTGAGAATATAAAATAAAGAAGACATTTGTCAAAGACTTTAGGCCAAAACATGCATGTGTTTATATACATATGGCCTATATCTGTTTATGCAGAAGTTAACATATCTAAGAGTATTTTTTTAACTGGACACTTTCCCAGTTTCACTCAGCTATAAGAAATTTAGGACTTTGGTCACTCTGAGGCCAGATACACACTGAATAACCTTTTATTTTATTTTGTGTTTGTTTGTTTATTTTCTTTTTGGGTCATACAATGATGCTGAGGGTTTACTCCTAGCTCTACACTCAGGAATCACTCCTATTGGTTCTTGGGGAACCATATGGGAAGCTGGAGATCGAACCCAAGTTGACTGCATACAAAGCAAATGCCCTACAAGCAATACTATCACTCCAGTCACCAATGACTTTTTATAGCCAAAAAAGACAGTAATCTTGACAGTGACACAGCTCAGTTGGAAAATGAATACAACTGGTGATTTCAACATTTTCAAATGCTAAACTTTTCCTTTTTGGTGGATTTGACTATTTTTTACAATACACATTAGATTATACTGCCCAAGTGAGTTCTACAAGTATATATCCTACAAGATCCTCAGAGTAGCATCTGCATTAACTTCCCCCTCCTAATCTATAGAACAAAAGAAAATCTACATTGGCTCTTAATTGCAGCCCTGATGAAAACTTCCCGGTTAACCTGCTGAAGTACCTTAAAAATCAGCCAGAGAAACAATGTTCTGAACGTCACTCTCTAGTTACTTTATTTGTTTCAGAATAAATGTTCTGAAATAATATTCTGAATACTCTGCTAAATTCTATCCTATCAAGAATATATGTTAGTTTAGAAATCACGGGGCCAGAGAAATAGTACTGTTGATTAAGGCTTTTGTCTTACATATGACCAACCCAGGTTCTGTCCCCAGCACCAGTTATGGTCCCCCAAGTCCTGCCAGGAATAAACTCTGAGCTCAAGGGCTAGGATTGGGGGCTGAAGCAATAGCACAGTAGGTAGGACATTTGCCTTGCACGCAGCCGACCCAGGTTCAATTCCCAGCGTCCCATATGGTTCCCCAATCACCGCCAGGAGTAATTCCTGAGTGCATGAGCCAGGAGTAGCCCCTGTGCATCGCCGAGTGTGATACATATGCACACACACACACACACACACACACACACACACACACACACACACACACCTAGGAATAGGCCCTGAGCACTGCTGGCTTTGCATCCTGCAAGCAAGCAAGCAAGAAAGCTAAAAAGCAAGCAAGAAAGAAATCATACCTGTTTTCTAGGACATAGTCTACTAATAAATCTAATTATACTTCTTTGTATTATGACCCTAAAATAAAAGACTTTGGGTCCAACCTCTTGCCTGAACAAGGAGAAATTCTGGTATAATATAGAAAATGTTGTAGCATGCATCCTAAAATTAACTACTTTTCCATGTTCTATCTTCATGTCACTTTAAACTTTGAAAATATCTTGGTAAAAAAAAAAGATTAAAAACTTCCTAGCAAGAGAATAAAATATGGCATCCAGAGGGCCGGCTGGCTCTTCCCATATGGAGCATGTGAGCAACTGTGGTTCATTTGGAGTCTCTTGAGAATTGAAACAGAAAAGCATTTGGCCACTCCATCTTCTGCAACCAAATGCATTCACGTTGTATACAGTTTTTCTCTTTTCTTGAACTCATTTATTCCAGTTTCTTTTTGATATAGCTAGACATTTAAATAGCTATTAAATGTCCCCCTGTGCTTTCACATTAAAAACTAGGAGGCGGGAAACCCTAGAGTTACCACTGGTCTCTGGAACAATCTAAGTAACACAATATGCTGATAGCTGATCAATTCTTTTGACAAGGGACTGCTGAACACTGGTTCTGACAGCAAATGTAGCTGAATTTTATAGGAGAACCAAAAAAAAGGTGGGGGGGGGGATTACTTGGAAGATTGCATTATAGAAGTAATAAAAACCTGAACATCTGGATTTTAGCTTTCTCAGTCAGAAGAGTTTGGGACTAATTTTTTTCCCCACTCTTGGCTTCCATGATGGAAGTCTGAGATAAATGAATAAAGTATTTGGTCTGTTACCCTATATAAATATGCTTAACAATCCTACCAGAGGGGCATGAAAGAAAAACATCATTAGTTATCTCCTCTGTCCTAGAATCTAGATCAGATCCCATTCTTCCTCTTCATTTTTATGTGCAACAAAAACAATCGTTTTTGTATGGTGCTTTACAATGGATCTCATACTTTATTTTATCCTCTTATAATCACACAAGGTAGAGAAATTGATACCACTGTCTCCATTCTACATACAAAATATCTGTGACTAATGAATGTTTCCATAATTTAGGGACAGAGCTGTAGCTAGAATATTTAGTAGCTTTGTGTAAATTATGGAAAGGCACCCTTTCTCCTGACTAATGTTTTTTCATGGCTCTGGCTTGACAAGTGGGAAGCATCCTGGATTCCAGCCTCCGCATACACCTTTATGCACAAACTATTGTTCACAACAATCCTGCCCTTCTTCACCTTTCCTCCCTTTCAAAGGTTCTAGAACATTCTCCCTTTTCTGTTTTTGTCTGTTACTTTGAAGATCCAGTAAGAATTATTGTTCTGTATTCTTCATTGTTTTTTTTCATCTCTTGGTGATACATGTTTACCTGTCACTGGAATCAGAACGTAAGCATTAAAGAATAAATTTGTTTCAACTTTGTTTTATTTTTTGCAGCGTATGTATATTTGTATGATTTGATTGTTGTTATCTAAATGTTGGGGATTTTTTTTTTGCTTTTTGGGTCACACCTGACATTGCACAGGGGTTACTTCTGGCTCATGCACTCAGGAATTACTTCTCTCAGTGCTCAAGAGATCATATGGGATGCTGGGAATTGAACCCGGGTCAGCCACGTGCAAAGCAAATGCCCTACCCGCTGTGCTATCGCTCCAGTCCCCTAACTGTTCTTGTTTTTGATACATACTTTCTGAAAAGTTCTTAGACATTCTTAGAGGAAAATTCTTGACGGTCTTTACATTGCAGAAATCCCTAATAATTGACAAATTAGAAATACAGTATACAATCATCCTTTGATATAGGTTCTAAATTTATTGGGGCCATTCAGATTGTTATCTAGCTGTTTCTGATCTCAGCATGTATTCCTCAACTTTCTCTAGAGGAACTAGGCAATGCCTGTTTAAAATAAAGAAAAATACTAAAAATAATTTTTATTTTTTAAGTAACTAGAATAGTGACTTTAATAATATAGCTATAAATTTAAATGTTTTCAGCTTCACTGTTTGGTTACCTGAAATTTAGCTTTTTATGAACATTTATTTGTGGTTCTGCTTCTCTAATTTTTTCCTATGCTCAATAAAAGTATTTAAGTAGATATTTAAAAGTGAAGCTTTCCTTTAACAAATCAAACTCTTTTAATTGTTACATATACAGATGCTTTAGTATCCTCCATAACTCAGTAAAACAATGTTTCTCTTCATTAAGGGAAAAAGTCATTGTTGATGGGACTTTGACATTTTATTTTGAATTGCTAGGATGTGGTTTGTGGCTTCTGTAATTTCTTCTTCATGAATTGTCAGCATCTAATCAAGAACCAACGCTGTTTAGTAATGGTATATGGTGCATTTATATACGTTTCTCCATTCTCATCATAACATTCAGCTTCCTTGTAGAATGAGTAGAATACCTAACCCAGTGTACATGATAACTTGTTTTAAAGCATTGATTGATTTAATTTTTGTAGACATTCGCCCTTGCTGGATTGGGATCTGGACTAACAGAAGCCATCGTGGTTAACCCTTTTGAAGTAGTAAAAGTTGGCTTGCAAGCCAATCGGAACACATTTACAGAGGTAATCATTTACTATTCTCCTATTGTCAGGGGAACATAAGAAATTATTTTAAGTATATGTATATGAGATTATTAATTCAATTCTTCTCCACATATTAAAATCATAGTAAATTATTGTTAGGGAAAAACATAAGAGTTAAATTTCTTTCACAAGAAAAGTGTTCTTCCACAGCATAAGTGCATTGAAGTCTTATTGGCAGTTTTACATATTTTTATTTCAGAGTTGTGATATAATCTATAATGACTTATTTAGAAATGTTTTTCTCACTTTTAGCCAGACTTCTATCTCACAGTATGCTAGAATGAATTGTCATAGTAAAAGCCACTGAGATTTTAATATTATTGGTTATTTTTTTAAACGATGAAGTTGTGTGGGGCAGTGTGGCTTAGTGGTCAAGTGCATGCCTTACATGGAGGAGACTTGGGTTGGATTCCCAGAACTGCAAAAAATAAAATTGTTCTGGAGCCAGAACGATGACTTAGATTACTGGAGCACATTCTTTGCATGTAGGAGGTCCAGATTTGATCCCTAGCACTACATGGTCCTACAACCACTGAGCTGGGAGTAGCCCATGAGCGCTGCTGGGTGTGGTCCAAAGACAACAAAAAAATTTATGAAGTCACTTTAGAAATTACCTCACCCCTTTCTTCACTCCACCCACTGCCCTCCCCCAAAGATTCAGATTATTCTTCTGGTTGAATCTGTATGTTCCTATAGCTATGCACACTTCCCCCACTGGAACACAATGGGTCCTGACAACTAATTATGGTCCATGAAGTTCCACGATGATCACTTCTTTTGTAGTGCATGAATTCGAGTTCTTCCATACACCTAAAATTCCCTTTAAACTGCTGAACCCAATTGCTTTCTTTGTTTATTTGTTTTATTCTTTGGGTGCGAAGTACAAGGCCGGGGAAAGAAACAAGGGGATTTATATCCCAGGTCTTTTCTTAGCATTTTAATGTAATTTCACAACTGGGCAGCATGTGAAATGGGTCTGGAGTACCTACTGGTCTGAGTTTCTCTGTAGCAAAATCCTCCTGCCTACTACTTAAGCAGCTGCAACAAGTTCAGACTCCCTCCCCCCCCCACCCCCACTTCTTGCCTGCTGATGCTGCCTGAGAGTGTCCAGGCTCTTCTGGAGCAGTGGTGTGACAAAGGTGGGTCACTGCTTCTTTCTAGCTGTGCAAGCCTCAGGAGGACAGGGTTGGGTTCTTGTAGCAGCTGAGATCCACTCAAGTGAAGTCAATCCTAAATAGAGAAGTGTTTTTTTAAATAAGTTTCATAATTTATCTCAGTGTTATGTGTGTGCTCTCACTTCAGAAAAGCTTGAAAAGCCCTCATCTTAGTTTCTGTTTTGCTTTCCCTTTATTCTTCCTCAGATGGACAAAGATGTGGGAAATCAGAGAAAAAGAAAATCACTGAACCCCTTTCAAATGTTTTGTCACTATGAAGCCTTTAGAACAGCTCCCATGGAACATGGTTAAGGAAAATGTGATTTGTTAGGCCTGAGTAATTACCAGCTAGAAGGAAAATGGGGAGTTCTCCTACCTTTGTATCATTTTTCCTGCTGGGAAACTTGCTTGGGTCAGCAGTAATTGAACTAGTCATTGAAACATGAAGGTCTTCACCTAAGGCTCTTTATTGAGAAAGCCTATGACCAGGGGATGCAAACAGAACAGAGTACCAGGAGCTCTCACTGGAATGGAAATAATGAGTTGTGAAAGCATCTCCTCTCCTGCCTGCTGTTCTTTTCCTCTCCCCTGTCCTCAAGAAGGTTCTGCACTGAGACAAGTAAGAGATGTTGATGTTTTGCATGTGCTATGTCTTTGCTGGAACATAGTTAATGCCCTTCCATTCTATCATAAAGATGCTATGTGTGTACATCTTCTCAGTTCATTTATGTAGGTATGATCTGTTTATGTATATGCAGCCAACTAAAAAAATTGTCATGGGGTGGGGGTGCAGTTGTTTGGGGGCCTTACACAATGGTGCTCAGGAGCTGCTGCTGGCTCTGTGCTTGGGGGTTGTTCCCAAGGTTCTCAGTGGACCATGCAATCCCCGTGGTGACTGAAGGGTGAGGGAACCTGGGTCTCCTGCATGCAAAGCATGTGCTCAGCCCAGCAGCCCAGTCAGCTCTCTGTCTCTCTGTCTCTCTCTTCTCTGTCTGTCTGTCTGTCTGTCTGTCTGTCTGTCTCTCTCTCTCTCTCTCTCTCTCTCTTTCTCTCTCTTTCTCCCCGAAATCATTTTTAAGTGGAAGAATTTGATTGAGGTCTTTTTTTTTCAGAATCCACTGAACTAAAATCATTGTCATATATCTACTTTCACAAAATAAATATGAATAGATACATTATAAAATATTTGCATTACTTTATTCAAAGAAAATTAGCAAAGTAGTGATCATATATAGTCACATTTATTAAATGTGTCAAGTATATTTTTCTATCAATTATAGAATTAATTACTCTCTCTCACTCTCAACATTTATCAGGATTCAATAGCTGAACCAAGGTGGAATTTTATAGAAAATTTTAATAAAAGGTTAAATAGTTAGTAAGACACAGTCACTAATATAAAGTAATGGGACTGCTTCTACTATAGAAAAACATCTGGTAGAAAGAAATGATGGTAAGTACAGAAATTTTGAATTAAGTTTTTAAAAATAACTGCCAGCAATTTTTGGCAATTACAGCTGCTTCCTATTTCTTTTGTCTAGAGCCTATTAATTCCAAAGCCTTCGATCACTGATTAGCAGTTTATCTTAGCCAACACAGGGATACCCTTTTGTTAACCTCTATTAAATTCATCTAAATATTAGGTGTGCTAACTTGAGCATTTATATAGTCAAGAATATTTACTGCTTGGTGCTGGAGTGATAGCACAGCGGGTAGGGTGTTTGTCTTGCACGTGGCCAACCCAGGTTTGATTCCCAGCATCCTATATGGTCCCCCAAGCACTGCCAGGAGTAATTCCTGAGTGCATGAGATTTAAGGTACATTGCATAGAAAAAGTATACATATTTTTAAAGAGAAATAGTTTTAAACCAAAAATAGAGGTAATGATATGTTTATAGCAGAAAACACATAAAGATACAGTTCTATATCTATACATAACTTTTTGAATATACAAAAAATGATCTGACACATAGAAATAGTATTTTCTGATAGAAATATGACATTATTTTTAAAAAAACAGATGTCTTTACCTCCTTTCAGCATTTAGTTCATGAAAACCTTTCAGTACTTGTATTGCAAACCACAATGCTCAAAAGTAAAGAGAGAGACAGAGACTGAGACAGAGACAGAGAGAGAAGAAAATTACCTGCCATAGAGACAGACTGGGGTAGGGTTGGAATTGGTAGGTGGGAAATGTACACTGGTAAAAGGATCATTTTATAACTGAAATTCTGTCATGAACAACTTTGTGACTGTGTATTTCATGGTGATTCTTTAAGAAGAAGAAAAGAACAGATGCAATTAATGTAATCTTATATTTTATTTAACCTGATATATCAAAAATATCATTACATGTGCAGTCAATATAAAAATTATTTGAAGCATTTAAAATTTTTCATTCTTTAAATAATATGTACAGATTTTTAATTTGGATTTTTTGTTTTGTTTTGTTTTGTTTTTGGTATTTGAGCCACACTAGTTGGTGCTCAGGGCCTACTCCTAGCTTTGTGTTCAGGGATCATTCCTGATGGGCTCAGGGGACCACAGTGCCAGAGATTGAACCTGGGTTAACTACTTTCAAAGCAAATGCCCTACCCACTATACTATCTCTCCAGCCCAGACTATGTGTGTCTTTATACCTACAGTACATTTTGGTCTGAACTAAGACACTCCATGTGCACAATGGTCAATGATATTACTGCCTTCCTTAAATATACAGTTCAGGGATAATAAACTCATACAAACCTCTGACCAGGATATCTCTAGAACGAGTACAGTAGTCGGACAGAAGGTAAGAAATTAAGAGAGGGCTTTGCTTAGTGCAGTGTTTAATAAAAGAATGCACAAGGTACTTATCTATGAATATTGGCTTTTGGAAATAGCCTTGCCCTTTTTAGAATATTTGGGGGAAAACATAACTGTAATATAGAAAAGTAGGCAATTCAAAAGAAATACTCTACTGGTTCTGCCAGGATCAAGTTCACCTTTAGGGAGTGAGATTTAAATCTCAGCTGATTTAAGTAGAATGACTTGCTTGGCCACCTTAGGACCCAACCTTGCATAGCCCAGTTTCCAAATCTTTATTAATGGTTCCATGAACCCCCATTCCTTCCTATTCTCGAATTCCTTTAAACATTTAAATTGTGGATTAATACTTGATTTGCATCCTGCTAGCCCAGGTTCATATTCCTGGTACCACATATGGCCCCTGAGCACTTCAGGGTATGATGAGAGAGAGAGAGAGAGAGAAAAAGAGTGAGAGAGAGAGAGAGATTCTTTCTCAGGAGTAGTTATAGAAAGCTAACATAAATTCTTGATCCAGGCCACTTAGTCACTTCATTGGACAATATGCACAAATCTCACTTGATGTTCAACCTTTTGGGTGAATTACAGCTACCAGTTGTGGTAGAACACTAAATGGATCCAGGCTGCTTATGAACTAACCACATGGCTTACCATCACTTAATAAAAGCAGAGCAGTTTTCCTAGGCTAATTTTGCAGGTAGATAGTTCTTGTTCTGCCAAGAGTATGAGTTTAGACAACTTGTCTATACTGCTGAACCTTTATTTGATGTGATCCGCCATCGAATCCTGCAATTGTTTGCTTTCCTGTTTCATTGCCTTGAGCCAACGTGGTCTCCTTTAAACAGAAAAATTTCCCAGGAAGTATTTATAACTGAGAAGGACTCTGCATTGGAACACAGTGTAAGGCAACTATAGTCAATATTACATTGACACTGAAGAGTCGAAAAGACTGTCATTATCCTAGTTGCACAGAGCATGTCTCAAAGGAGGTTGTGGGGCATAAATAGTCCCTTGACTCTG